GCCTTGGCTTACATTTTTTCCCTATGTTAGAGGATTTTAAGGATGTTCCTGAGAAAGAATTTTCCGAGTTGATCCTCTGCTCCATTTGTTCCTTTCTCAACTTCTTCTGCTCTCGTTCTCGGCAGTAAGAAGCTAATGACAACTGGAACCGAGCTCCCAGGGGGCTTTCTCCTGGGTGGTGCCGGGACAGACTGCTTCTGCTGCTAACACTTCTGGAGCTGTTCTTGAAGATGTCACCTTCTGTCTCTTGGGCCTGCTTTCTGGAGTCTTCATTGGTCTTTCCTCGATCTCTCTCATTCTTCTCCCTGTTACTTTCATGAATGAACAGTGACTTCCTTCTCTCTGGAGACCGGTGTTTTTTCTTTCGTGCCTTCATCTCTTTGGACAATCGATAAGAGGAAGGAGCATACATATCTGCTCTTTTAAGTAAGTATTTGGAGCCTACTGACATACAAGGCTGACGTGACTCATGTACACCATGATCTTTGTGGTGCTCTTTACCACCTTTCATGAAAGCTTCTAAAATAGGACTTTCTTCTGATGACATTCTTTTGGGTTTGGGTTTTTTTGGTGATGATAATTTCCTTTCAAATTGTTCTGTCCCATTGATGGACACTCCATTTCCTCCATATTTGATGTTTGATTTTTGTTGAGAATCCAACATATGTTTGTCTAAAACAGCCACAATTAAAACACATACAAACTGTATGTTATTAAAAATAAACTAAGGTTTCTATTACTATTTAACTATCAATTTATAAATTATTGAAGCTACTAAAAAATTCAAGCCAATTAATATTTGGGTAATAAAATACATTTTGGAAGAGAGAGAAATTAAGAAATAGATTTACCTTTTATGAAGTTTACATTCATGAATCCCTTCTGCTACCTCATCTAACCTCCCTATGGCTCCATTTGTGAGCTACTGTATTAGAGAATAAAAATAATATAAACATTGGGAAGCAGAGGCAGACAGATCTATGAGTTCGAGGCCAGCCTGGTCTACAGAGTGAGTTCCAGGACAGCCAGATCTACACAGAGAAACTCTGTCTTGGGAAAAAATTAAAAAAAAAAAAAAAACAAAGGCCGGGCGGTGGTGGCGCACGCCTTTAATCCCAGCATTCAGGAGGCAGAGGCAGGCGGATCTCTGTGAGTTCGAGGCCAGCCTGGTCACCAAAGGGAGTTCCAGGACAGGCTCCAAAGCTACAGAGAAACCCTGTCTCGAAAAACCAAAAAAAAAACAAAAAAACAAACCAAAACAAAAAAACAAAAAAACAAACCAAACCAAAAACACTATAAACTGAATTATTTTAAATGTTAAAAATGCATAACAAATGGCTCAATGTTTATCGCATCTTCATTAAAACTGTACAATTTCCAATTCTGAAGAGTATAATCAAAGTTTGGAGGCCCTCTTCACCTCTAAAACAACCCATCAAAAATACATTAACAACATGCATACCTTGTTTTGAAGCTGGCTTGAAGAAATCTATGATTGATTGTTTCCTGAAAACAAAAGCACAACTAATATGGCATCACAAAATCAAGTATTAAAACATAAATACTTTAGATTAAGTGGTGAATGTTAGATTTACATAAGACCAGCTGGATTCCACTCTGTGATGTAACTAATCTGGTTCTGACAATAGTAATCGTACTTTGCTAAGCCATAAGAAAGTTGAAAATATAACCAATTTTCTCTGTTTATATATACAACTGAGACAATGAAATCAAGAATACTAAAATGGCAGAACTGCAGTCTAAATCTAGGGAGTGGTGAGTGATGGCGATAGATCATAACCTTCCCAAACTCTTGCAGCAGGAGCAGAGTAACAGACGGGAGAAACAACACCTAGCTTGATTCTAGGGAGGTAGTTGAAAGGAATGTGCAAGGCAAAAGCAGAAAGAAATCATTTGAGTCTAAACTAAGCAACAGCAAAAACTAGAATGAGCCACACTGTGTTTCAAACGTTTTTTCTTTTTCTAAATCTAAGATTCCTTAAGATTAGCCAGCAGCAGAGGAGCACACCTTTAATTCCAGCACTCAGGAGACAGAGGCAGGTGTATTTGTTTGAGATCAGGCTGGTCTATGTAGTGAATTTTAGGCCAGTGGGAGCTACATAGTGAGACCTTGTCTCAGGGAACACCACCCACACACAAACCAAAAAACCATATAAACAAAAACACAAAAGAGTTCAAGGGGCTGAAGAGATGGCTCAGTGTTTAAGACCCTTGCTGTTCTTGCAGAGAAGTGGTTTGGTTGTTCACAAATGTCTGTCTCCAGCTCCAGGGTATGTGACACCCTCTTCTGGTCTCCTCAGGCACCAGGCACACACATGGTGCAGGTATACATGCAGCCAAAACACTCAGACACATAAAATAAGTAAAATATTAATAAAACTCTTAAGCATTTTTTTTAAAAACAGCATACTACCCAACTAGAATGAAAAACAGAAATGTGAAAGTTAACAAGGAAAAAAAAAAAATCTAAAACCAAACTGGTTTAATAATTTTTATGGGTTATTGTGCCCTAACATGGGCACACAGCAATTATTACCAAAACCTAAACTCTGACTTACTCTTGCACACTGAGCTGTCAGCTTATCAAAGGCGATATTACATGTATAGGAAAATTGAGTAAATAACTTACTGAGGGGCTGGAAAGGCTCAGCAGTTAAGAGTACTGACTGCTCTTCCAGAGGACCTGGGTTCAATTTCGAGCACCCACATGGCAGCTCACAACTGTCTGTAACTCCAGTTCCAGGAGATCTGACACCCTCACACAGACATACATGCAGGCAAAACATCAATGAACATGAAATAAAGTAAATAAGTTATAAAAAATTTATAAAATGTATCCATTTTGCTGATAGCCAGCAGCAGTAGGCTACCAGCGTTGTCTCCTCTGTGGATGAACTTGATTACTCAGTGAATGAGCAATCCAAATCCAAGGCTGATGTCCTTTTCTATCTTTTCATTGGTCACATAAGAGCTATGCGCATCATTACTAGCTTACTTAAGACTCGAAAAGTATGTTGATAGAATCTAAATGGTTCTGACTGAAAGCTAAGTTACAGGCTAAAGGAGAATATATACATTTGTTTATAGAAAGTAAATTACATTAGGTGAATTAACTCCACCACCGAGTAAAGGAAGAAATGCTAGTCTGCAAAGGGAAGACAAGTGATAACCTATTATTGGTAGCTGGAAAGGTGGAAAAGAATCCATAAGCAGCTAATGCAAATCAAAATAATACTACTAGTTCTGCTAAATATAACGCTGTATCTCTTCCCTAAAGCATCAAGCCTAATACTCCTCCTAAATACACTAGAAAGGGGGGGGGGAAATGGCTTTAGGTAAATCACATAACTATAAATGAAACTTTCTAGAGGTAAAAATAATTGCTTCCTTAAGTTGAATGCACAGAAATGTCCATAACTTCTCTGTAACTGGTTAAAAAGATTATGACAGCCTCACAAACCTTTATCTGAAAGTTCAGGAACCAAACGGGTTAGAATTCTGGATTTACTGGATTTTGGGAAGGAAATAACTTGAATGTATTATATACAGCCCCCAGCATGGTCTGGTGTTGTAATCTGTAGCCAAACATACTAATATTTCTCCAGCAAAGCTTATGACACCAGTAGACAACCTTGCATCAACTCTGGCCAGCCTGCCTCGGCTGCCAAATGAGCTGTGGTAAAAAACTTAATGGAAGCGTTTGTTTTTCATAGCTTTCTGGCATTCAGAAGTAAGATAAAGGATTGTGAGTCTATGCCACAATACTTTTAAAGCACAAATTTACTTTTAACCGTGTTACTTTTAAAAATTAAAATAAAAAGACAGTACCAAGTTCATAGATAATTTAAGTATGTTTTATTGTCAGAGGATGTTATTTGAGGAAATTCTCCATCATTACATAGCTCCCAGAAAAATCTTTACAAAGAGAGAGGAGAGAGAGAGAGAGAGAGAGAGAGAGAAGAAAAAATAAAGAGGAAAAGAAAGCTTTCTTGGAGAGGCAGAAAGTTACTCAAGGAGAAAACGGGCGCATTCCAAAAATCTTTTTAGTATGAATGATCGTGTACACTGTACTATAAAGTAATTCGTGGGTTTTCCTTATCACATCTTACATAATTTCACGCACAGTGTAGAAACCACCAGCATCAGAACGATCTAAATAGATGCACTGAGTAGGGAGGGTCCCAGGTCAAGCTCTCGAAAAGAATAAAAATAACCTTCTACCTAAGGCGAGCTCTCCGTAGCTACCGTGGTCACTAGACCAAAAGCAACATCCCAATTACAGAAAAGGAGACTCCAACTCCCAGAAGCCCCGGCGCAGAGGCGGGGCAAGGGTTTGCAGGCCCCAGAACATCAAGGCCTGAGCTCGCTGAGGATGGCGGGAACTCAAGAGCAGCCGTCCGCAGTCCTCCCTTCTACCCGTGCCCCCGCGACCCGGCCCCTTCTCAAGCCCCTCTGCACGGTACCTGTCCCCAGGACTTTCTGTTCTTTTTCCCGCTGCAGCAGGGGCGGTACTACCGGGTCTCAGATGGCAGCGCGGGGGCGACGACCCCGGGGCTGGGGATGAGGGGAAACCTGGCCTAGCGGGCATGCAGCGCCTTGTCATGTCGGCGCCGCTGGCGACGGCGGCATGAGCTGTGAATGGAGAAGCTGGTTGCGTGGTTGCCGTCTTGCTGCTGGGACTCGGGGAGGCTGTCGGTGCAGAGGTGGGCGGCACCCCCTACTCTCTTCATGGCGGTTCTCTCTTCGGAAGTGACTCCGGTGTGAGCGGGAAGGAACCCGAGGACCGCCAGGGGGCGGGCCTTACCTGAGGTGCCGCATCTTGATTGGCTGAGCTGGGGGTCACTCTGGTGGTGACCCAATGAAAAGCCTCGTCCTAGAAGGAGAAGGCGGGGGCTTCTGGAAGGGGGAGGGGAGAATGAAAACTGCCCTCCCCAGACCCGTCACGTGCGCCTGAGGCGCGCGCCTCCGCGTCGGGGCCGCGCCGGCCTTGGCGGGTGCGTGGGAGTGGGAAAGGGGAGACTGTGGTGAGTGCTACGACAGCTGGCGACACCCGCCTGATCGAGGGGTAGGGGTGAGGTTTGCAGAAGTAAATCCGAGCCTACAGCTGTCTGCAGTGAGGTTGTCCAGCAGTTGTCACGATTGTGCTTAAGGAAGTGCACAGCTGCGCTAATATTACATAGTCACTTTAGCATCTTAGGCCAAAGTGCCATAATGCTGTTACCATTTCCTCAGTAATCTGCTCTGTCCATTGTGATTTGGCCGTTCTGTGAGGGATCTTGTATACAATAATATGCTTTTGCCCCTCCCCCCACTCCACTAAGGGCAGGGTAGGGAGGATACCCAAGCACTGATGTAGATTTTTTTTTTTTTTAATTCTGTAAAAGCGTTTTCTGTAATGGGTTTCCCTTGAAGTCCCTGCAAGTAGACGTTTTGGGGGATTTTTGTACGGATCATTCCTCATTTGTCAAGGGCCGCTGCTTTGAAGGCAACTGGTTAGTCTGGGTTTTCTTTGTAAGCTGAGAGACTGCTCAGATACTATTTCTGAGTCTCACACTCCCTGTGTATAGAATGGATATCTTACTTCTCTGGGTAATTTTAAGCCATAAAAAATATCAATGTAAACAGGTTTAGATTCTGTTATGCAATTGGTACAAATACATGGTTCCCTTTCCTTTGTCCTTCAGACTCCTGCGGACCAGGCCGGTTGCTGTAGGGAAGGCCTGAATCCTAGCACTTGGGAGATTGAAGAGACTGAGGCCGTGGCTATGGTGAGAGTTCAGGGCATAAAGGAACTTGCTTTCACGACCTAGGACCACAGGACAGAAAGAGATAGCTGATGCCATCCAGCGAGTCATCCTGTGACTTTTGTCATCATACACACACAAGTAAGGAAAGAAATAGCCTGGTGGTGGTGGCGCACGCCTTTAATCCCAGAACTCAGAAAGCAGAGGCAGACAGATCTCTGTGAGTTTGAGGCCAGCCTGGTCTATAGAGCAAATTCCAGGATAGGGCTATACAAAGAATCCCTGGAGAGAGAGAGAGAGAGAGAGAGAGAGAGAGAGAGAGAGAGAGAGAGATTGAGGTTAGTCTTGACTATGTAGCAAGATCCTGTCTCAAAAGAGCTAAATAAAATATTCCAGAGACTGAAAAATTCCCATTATAATGTTTGTCAATAAACAAAATATCAATCTCAAAGATGTCCAGGATTTAATTAAGAGCAATGTTCCCTCAGTTGGATAGAACAAATTCCTAAATGACACACAAAAAAATTTGAGCAGGTCTTCCAAATTTATTGTACTGAGACTGAATTGCTTCTATTTCTAAGCACACTAGACTGACCCAAAGTTCACCTCTCTTCTCTTCCCTGGTAGCTCTCAAGAGGAAGAATTAATGAGAATAGAGTGACCAATAAGCTGGCAAAGTAGGTGGTAGGAGGTAAAGAGTAAACACGGGTCTTCCCAGAACACACAGCTGTTTATGGGTAGGAAAACTGTAAGGACAGAAGTACCAAAATCAATGGCACTTTTCTGCTTCTTATGATGGAGAATTCACTGTGCTGCTTATATGTATTATTTGATACATTTAAAAAAAAGCATAATAGGGGCTGGAGATATGGCTCAGTGGTTAAGAGCACTGCCTGCTCTTCCAAAGGTCCTGAGTTCAATTCCCCGCAACCACATGGTGGCTCACAACCATCTGTAATGAGGTCTGGTGCCCTCTTCTGGCCTGCAGACATACACACAGACAGAATATTGTATGCATAATAAATAAATATTTTAAAAAAAAGCATAATAGATGCTGAAAATATGTTGAACCTATGTTTATGCCTTTTTCCATGCATCATTTCCTGTTCCTTGATGTAGTACTTTCTGTTGGCTGTTTCTACACTAGGAAGTCCCTGCTTCCATAACAGCACATCCACAAAACTTTTAAGATGATTCGTTTCATTGCATGCTCAGTCCATAAAAAGAATAAAGTATAAAAACACATTCTGTATGATCAATTAGCCGCTTTTCTTGGATTATAGTATTTGAATCATCCAGCCTCCAAACCATCACTTTAAAGTCTCTACTCATGTTGCCAAACAATAGTTTTCACATTTTCTTAATCTGCTCAGCAGATTATGAAGTTAAGTGAGGCAAGAAATCCCTTGATCAATAAATGGAGTCATAATGAAAGCACAACTTAAAAAAAAAAATCTCTCCTTAACTGGGAAGTAGTTGCCTAAATCCTCAATAAACATCAAAGCTTTTCTTTGCTTAAGCTGCACAGGAAAAAGATACAGATTTGGGTTGCAGGGTGAGATACATTCAGCATTACTAACAAATGGGTAGAAACTAAGACATTCCTTTCCTCCAAAGAGAACTGAACCCCTGTCATGTGTTTATACTCTTCACTTTTCATGTGTACATATACACTATGCACAGACATATATATTCCCAGTCAAGGGTTTCCCCTACCTCTTAAGTTACCGAAGATGAAACTCAGGGTCTCATGCATATGAGGCAAGCACACTGCCACTAAGTTATTCTCAGTTTTGTGAGAGCTTTTTGGTTTGTTTCCTCTTGTACTTTGTAGTGGACTGAAAATAGATGGCCAGGGAACTATAGACTGTAAAAGCTGTCAAAAGAGCTCTCATGTGTGCTCTCATGGGGTGACAAGATAGGAGAGAAAACCCGAGATGTGGATGGGGGATGATGAACAGTGTCAGCAAGACTAGGTGAGAGAGTTAACACGGAGAAAAGAATCTGAGAAAGGAAGGCCAGACTGTAAGCGGCTAGTTAGGTACGATTTCTGAGTGTGGGGATAAGGAAGCAAAGGCTCAGAACCTGGAGTGGCTTTTGAAACTTTATTTATTTGATTGGTATTCCAGACAGGGGTTTCTCTGTGTACCCCTGGCTGTCCTCAAACTCAATCTGTAGACCAGGTTGGCCTTGGACTCACATATTCACCTTCCTCTGCCTCCTGACTGCTGGGATTAAAGGCTAAATTATTTATTTTGATGTATGTGAGTATTCTGTCTACGTGTATGTCTGTGTACCACTTGCATGCCTGCTGCTCAGAGAGGCCAGAAGGCAGCAGTGAATGGTCCTAGAACTGGAGTCACAGGCAGTTGTGAGCCACCATGTTGGTGCTGGGAATTGAGCTCTGGGTCCTCTGGAAGAGCAGCCAGTGCTCTGAACCACTGAGACTTGTCTCTAGCCCTGCCCCTCCCCGCCACCTCCCCTGCCTGTGTATATAAAGTATTTGTGAGCTATCTGGTACTCTAGCAGCAACTCCAGAGTTACTAGGCTCTGACACTCATGAGAGGAATGGGAGAGATAGCCAGGGAAAAGTGTCACTAGGGACAGCAAGCTCTGGGAGCAGTGACTGTCTAAGGGATGCCAGCGAACTCAAGCAGTCACAAAGACTTGTGATCTCACAGAAAACCTCAGCACTCAGGGATTAAGAGAATAATCAGTACATAACAAAGACTCGCTAAAAATCTAGAAACATGGAAAACAACTTCTGGCTTTACAAGAATGGCATGATTTTGTGTTGAGATTGCTCTACTTGGAAATTAACTCCAAGGCTCTCAGAGGGTGCATGCCCAAGGGCAGGCCAAGAGACAAAGACCCATGTGCTGGGGAGAGGGTGGGGGTAGGAGTGTGTGGAGGGTGGTCTGAGGGGGATAAGGAACAGACTCAGAGAAACAGGAAACAATTAACTTGAAAGCCTGACAGAGAAAGACAGACCACATAAGGGTCTCAAGAAGGGAAAGGTGAGCTCACCATGGCTCAAGACACACACACACACACACACACACACACACACACACACACACCACCTTTGCAAACAGATGCTGAACTAGACAGGGCTGAGCAAATGATTGGAAAAAGCACCAGTTTAGCTTCAGGGACCACCTGCGAGGTGCCAAATTTAATATAACGTCACACAATCCAAACATCTTAGGAGTAAGGAGTAAAACTGCAAACCCCGCAGCTAAGGACGCCTGTTTCGTGTTATTTCCCTATGGAATGTTTCAAGACAGTTTCCCACACAGACACATGAGAAATATATTCGTGAATTTTAACATATCTAACAATTCTTATACTACTGCTTAGTTACTTCATTCTTTGTCATCTTTGCTGGGGATCAATTTCAGAGCCTTATCCATGCTAGGCAAATGTTCTGCCGTCTAGTTATGTCCCTGACCCTTGCTGTTTTGAGACTGGGCTTCACTGTCTCACTTAACTCACTAGGTAGACCATCTTCCCACAGTCCTCCTGCCTCACCTCCTAAGAACAGGGATTATAAGCATGTGCCATCACAGCCATTTTGACTTTAAGCGTGTAACATACATAGTACATGTACACACACACACACATGTTCTATAAACTTTTTTTCTTTGTGACATATACCTATGTAGACTTGTCTATCTAAAACTTTTGGGAATTATTGGTTTTAGAGACTCCGGCCTGCAGTCAGGCATTTCTCACACATGGTTAGTGAGCCCTTAGAAAGCTTTGAAACTGAAGAATTAACAACTGCCCCAAGATGGGGCACAGAGAATGCTAGTGCAGTTCATATGGTATATGAGCTCCAAACTAATCTGAATTACAGATTGTCTTTCCTGAAGACTTGAATGTTAACTTGCTGACAGGGAGAACTTCCTGTACATTTCACTGCATATAGTAGGAAACACTGATCCTTCTTTTTCTATTAGTGTGTCTTTGCTTTCCTGTACTCTAACACCTTCTAGACAGAGAGGAGCTGATTAACCTCTCTTGGGTCTTCAGTAATCTAGTGCCTGCAATAGGGATATGGGTGAGAGGGGATAGTTCAAAATGTCCATCATGAAGAACTTGATTTCCCTGGAGCTGTAGAGAGTCTTTTGGGGGTAATAATTTGATCTCAGACCTTTGTACTGCTCTTAGCAGAATTCAACATATTGACTATGATGTATGTGACTTATTTTTATTTTGCAGGTATAGGTATTTTGCCAGTATATATGTCTGTACCATAAGTATGCAGAGACTAGAAAAGGGTACCAGATATCCTGGAATTGGAATTCCAACTAGTTGTGAGCCATCATGTGCGTGCTAGCAATTGAACCCAGTTTTTTTGAAGAACAGCCAGCTTGTAACCACTGAATTATCTAGCCCCAACCATGATGCATCTTGTATTTTTTTATGGTGCTAGGGATGGAACACAGGGACATAAACACACACATACACATTCATGCTACCACTGTGTTACACCCTTAGCCTCGCAGGTCTTTCCTTTATCTTCAAGCTTTAATGCTGAGCCTGAGTCATAAGATAGCCTCCTAGGAAGGTATGCATTTTAGCCCCAAAGAGGTTTTTTGTTTGTTTTATTCCATTGTTGTCTAGATTTTGTGAGATGCTGTCTTGCTTGTGTAGCCTGGCTAACCTGGAATGTACTATGTAGACCAGACTGGCCTTAAACTCATGATCACGGAGGGTTGGGATTATATGCCTATATTTCTATATCAAGCCCCAAATAATTTTTTAAAGACATGGAAAATTTTTTCCTGGACTTTTTAAAAATTGTTTTTATTAAACTACATATTTTTCTCTGTTCCCATCCCTTCCTCTCCCCTCCCCTTTAACCCTCTCCCATGGTACCCATGCTCCCGATTTACTCAGGAGATCTTGTAAAGATATGAAAAAAAAATTTAAATTTAATATACAAACTTTGAGATTTTGTTTTGTTTTGAGTAGCACAATCAAGGTTCTCACACTTGCCCCACACGGACTAGGTAGGT